TAAGTATTTTTATACATTATATTGGTATAATTATATTGTTGCATTGTATTGCATATTGCACAGAATTACTAATATTGAATTGATCATAGGTATTTTTATACATTGCATTGGTATATTTATACTGTTGCAAAATATGTCTTTTTATCCTCAGTATTGTGCTGAAGTGTTGCTCTTGTGTATTGTATACAAAGTATTGCATTTAATTCGCTTTAGTTATTAAGAACATTGCCTTATAGGCATCATACTATTAAGAATATATATAATGCACTTCTTTTTATACCCTGAGATACGTACTGAATTAAATATTCTATTAATTATTTTACTGAACTAGCAACTGTGTTAAAATACTGTATGAAAGTTAAAAGTAGTATTTTGGTCTCATTTTGCACTAAAATTTCCATTAAATTATAAATAGTATCATAGACGTAGCTTATGGATTTTATACTGTATCATATGTCTTGTATTGCATATTGCATAGAATTATTACCAATTACTTATTACTTGACAATATGTATTTTGCTACATTGCATTTGTATATATACTGTCGCATACTCTATTTACTTACTCTCAGTATTGTATTGTACCTATTGTTTTTGTGTCTTGTATATTAAGTATTGTATTGATATTAAAAGCATTGCCCTGTAAGCATGTTAATTTACCTATTGTATCACATAGCTTACGTATTTGCACCACATCATATTATATCGTATAACCGTATTGTATAATATATATATATTAAATTGTGAGCTCCGTATGGATATGTATCATCTTATATGAAATTGCAATGTTGTGAGCATCGTATACATAAAAAAATTGCACTATAAGTCCCCTGCAATACAGGAAATGTATAGTTCTTATCGTAATATAAATAATGTGTCATTAATTTTGCTTTAATTAATTAATTAACTTAATTAATTAACTTTAATTAATTAATTAATTAACTTTGTAATTTAATGATATAGCATCCATTATCTTACGCAATAGTTGTACATCATATTGTACTGTATACTGTATTATATAATTAATAATCGTACATTAAATTGTGAGCATAGTACAGATATGTATCATCTTGTATAAAATTGAATTATAAATTCCCTGCAATACAGTACTGTGTAATATATACTAAATTGTAAGCATCGTATAGATATGCGTCATCTTGTATAAAATTGCACTAATATAGGAAACATACAGTTGGTATAGTAATATAAATAGTGTTTTATTAACTTTGCATTAACTATTGTATTGAACAATATGGCTTATTGATCTTATATTGAATTATCTATCTTGTCTTGCATCTCGTACAGAATCATTAGTATCGTTTTACCTTGTATTGGTATATATATATGTATATATAGTTGTACAATGTATCATTTTTACCTTGTATTGGTATCTATATAGTTGCATAATGTATTCATGTATTGTATCCTTGCTTTGTACACTAACTATTGTATGGAACTAACCATCAGTAGTAAGATCATTACATCACCGATATCATACTATCAGCATTCTTATCAGCCTAGTATATAGCAGCAGTAGCAGTTGTGTAATATTTAGCATTGCATCAGTTTGTAGTACTGTTTGTAAGTATTCTAGTAGTAGTTTTGTAGTATTGCAGTATGTAGCAGTAGTAGTTTTGTAGTGGTGTTTACTCCTTTGGTTTTCTATTGTTATCGCTATCTGTATGTGTTTTGTTCTAATTATGTCTATGTGATTATAGTACTTATACAAAATCGGCACTTGCACCTTTGTAATCTTATGCATTGTCAAAACTTCAAATGTACCCTTTATTTATCTATTTATTTATTTTTTGAGCCCTTGTCTGGCCATGTATTTGTTGAACTTTGGCTCAATAAACACTAGGGCCGGACGGTTGGTGTGAACATGCTTCTGGGGGCTTCTTTGGTCTTTTGGACTGCCACGTGGATGGCCTGGTCTCTGGGTTTCGGTGTATGGTGTGAGGCGCCTGTGTGGCCCATCTGGCTCAAGACAGAGTTGGACGTCTTGCATATGCCAATTAACCATTACGGTAAAGGCATGGTGCACACGTCCCCCGTCAACTATCAATTATCAACTATCTCTCAAAACAGATACATCTCCCTAACCTGAAGTAAAATTGACATTAACAGCATCTCTCAAAAGTTTAAATATCCAGAACACATAAAAACGGTAGCGAAATCGGAAGCGACATACTTAAGAACGAAACTATAACACGAGTAAAATTTCACTTGCAAGATAAATATATATATCTACTATATATATAACAACTCCGACAAAATTCTTTCAATTTCCAAGACTTTCAATAATTCTTTTGGAAAACACTTCTTTAATACTGCCGTCTAACGAATGTATTAAGTCCTGTTGTCTCGTGCATATTTAGAGTAACTAGATTATTGTAAAAACTATTTTATCAGAAGAAAACTAACATAGTGAAGCCCAACATAAATGAGCGCATTTTGTTTCGAACCTGAATTTTAGGACTCTATACAGAAGTAAGTATGTATCTAACGTATCCTCTTAAGGGAAAAACCGTAAACTTATGTATATACATCTATTCATATCTGACGCCTAAATACAATAATAGTCCATGATGTCATTACCACTTTAGAAGGTACCAGAGATTTTCATTCCTATCAAAAGACATGAACTAGGTAATTATTTGTAATAATTATGAATAAAATATGTTATCTTCCTCGCTTTCGTCGGGTGTAGTTTCTTCTGTGGGTTCAACTGGGGTACCTGCGTGATACAATATTTGTTTCAAATGTATTTACAACCTAAAAATAAACTAAGCTAGGCAATGCTCTTAGCTAGTACAGCAGCTTAATGCAACCTCCTTGATGTTAAATAACTAACATATTCTCCCTTATGAAAGTTAAAGGAATTCAAACTAAAATTTAAAAAAGAAGCCTTATCAACCCTTTCTACTGTACATTGAGCATGTTCCATAATTCATCTCAATTTTGATCTGATTTTAAGCACCCATATATACGCAAATATTTTGTGAAATTCCTAAAATTTTTAAATAGTTTGAAGTTGTTAATAGAGTCGAAATGTTCAAATACATTTCTATAATACCTAGATATTTGAGATTCATCATTAAGAGTTATGATTCCCTATCAGACTCAGGACTTTCCCTGTGATAACAAAATGATTTAATGTCAGAATCGTCTTTTCTTTCATTTAAATTTCCATACCCGTAAGGAGTCGAACGAGCTCTTCGAATTGCTTAACATAAGTTTAACATTAATGTACTTTCATTGTTATACTTTAATAAAAGAGATGTTTAAATGCAATATTTGAAGGAAAGCAGCGGGTAGCAAAATATATAAACATGCATTTTAAGTACTGCTAAAATACCATTTACTTAAAATTATGTTTATATATTCAGCATTTCTTAAATGCAGATTTTGTCAAAAACTTCCAAACTAAAATCGTTTCTTTTTAATTGCATACGAGAAATTCAGAAACGTCATATGAAAAAATATACTTATAAAACAGATAAATTTGCATAAGAAGGATAATTCTGATCATTATCTGCCCTGGTGTGTAGAGATAAAGTCATATTTCCCATTTTGGCCGTATTTAGCGAATAAGAATTTCGGAGACATGAAATTCACATTACAGCGTCACCATACATGATGATGAAGTTATACAAAATCAAAATAATAAAGTTAAACAAAATCTTAGACTTAATACCGTGGTTCCAGCACAGAAAAATAGAAAATTTCTGATTGAAGTATAAACCAAAAAGCCTTAATTATAAAAATAGCCTCCTTTAACTGCAATGAATTCCTTGCACCGTCTCTAGATGCTGACTACAAAATCATCTAACTGTTTATAGGGAAACATTTTCGATTTTCGAAGAAGCATCTCTTCCAATTCCCCGGGTAAGATTTCGGGAGTGTAAGCATTCAACACATATGAGGGATGCACACTGGCGAATTCGAAATGTTTATACCTCTACTTCGGAAAGCCTGTTTGACACCATGAGTTTCGACTATTTATAAGTATGCCGTATTCCTATGATACCGCACCTGGTTGGAAAAATGTGTGCTTTTGAGTATTCGGAAAATTTCTATTATATTTACCGAACATATTCTCTGTTCCAGATAAGAATGTAGTTTGATGAGGAATAAGGAAATGTATATATTTTTGGTGATTTAATTCTGTAGCCATATTCTGATAAATAGGAACAAACGACAACAATTTTTAAGCAGGTATAACGGGCAAATCTCTTTGGCGTTTTCACTGGCTCTTTTCCTATTATAACCTAAACACCTGACTTAATTGCTGTACTGGAAAAAGTTATCAAAATCCACTATATTTTTCGAGATCATGTGCAACAGCGGGAAGTGTTGCATAGCTACCACACAGGGCTATTGCTAGCACAGATACATCTCCCTAAGCCTGAAGTAAAATTGACGTTAACAGCATCTCTCAAAAGTTTAAATACCCAGAACACATACAAACGTTAGCGAAATCGGAAACGATGTACTTAAGAACAAAAATTTAGAAACTGTAAAATTTCACTTGCAAGATAAACATAAAATATATATATCAACTATATAAATATAACAACTACCTTAAAATTCTTTCAATTCCCAACACTTTCAATAATTCGTTTGGAAAACACTTTTTTAATACTGCCTTCTAACGAATGTATTAAGTCCTGTTGTCTCGTGCATATTTAAAGAAACTAAATGTTTTGGAAAAATTATATAATCAGAAGAAAACTAACATTGTGTAGCCCAACGTAAATGAGGGCATTTTGATTCCAACCTGAATTTTAGGACTCCATATAGAAGTAAGTATGTATCTAATGTCTCCTCTTAAGGGAAAAACCGTAAACATATGTATATACATCTATTCATATCTGACGCCTAAAGACAATAATAGTCCATGATGTCATTACCACTTTAGAAGATACCAGAGATTTTCATTCCTATCAAAGACATGAACTAGGTAATTATTTGTAATTAATTATGAATAAAATATGTTACCTTCCTCGCTTTCGTCGGGTGTAGTTTCTTCTGTGGGTTCAACTGGCGTACCTGCGTGATACAATATTTGTTTCAAACGTATTTACAACCTAAAAATAAACTAAGCTAGGAAATGCTCTTAGCTAGTACAGCAGCTTAATGCAACATTCTTGATGTTAAATAACTAACATATTCTCCCTTATGAAAGGTTAAAGGGAATCAAACTAAAATTTCAAAAAGAAGCCTTATCAACTCTTTCTACTGTACACTCAGCATGTTCCATAGTTCATTCTCAAATTTGATCTGATTTTAAGCACCAGTATATACGCAAATATTTTGTGAATTTCGTAAAATTTATAAATAGTTTGGAGTCTTAAATAGAGTCCAAATGTTTAAATACATTTCTATAATACCCGGATATTTGAGATTCTTCATTAAGTAATATGATTCACTATCACACTCAGGTCTTTGTCTGTAATAACAGAATGATTTATTGTCAGAATCTTCTTTTCTTTCATTTAAATTTCCATATCCGTAAGGATTTAATCTAGCTCTTCGAATTGCTTAACATAGGTTTAACCTTAATGTAGTTTCATTGTTATACCTGACTAAAAGAGATGTTTAAATGCAATATTTGAAGGAATGCAGCGGGTAGCAAAATATATAAACATGCATTTTTGAGTACTGGTAAAATATCGTTTACTTATAATAATGTTTATATATTCAGCATTTTTGAAATGCAGATTTTGTCGAAAATTTCCAAACTAAAATCGTTATTTTTAATTGAATAAGAGAAATCAAAAAATGTCATATGAAAAAATTTGCTTATAAAACAGATAAATTTTCATAAATAGGATAATTCTCATCATTATCTGCCCTGGTATGCAGAGATAGAGTCATATTTTACATTTTGGCCGTACTTTAGCGAATAAGCAAGTCGGAGACATGAAATTCACACTACTGCGGCACCATATATGATGATGAAGTATGATACAAAATCAAAATGATGAATTTATACAAAATCAAAATTTTAATACTGTTGCTGTGCACAGAACGAATAGAAAAATTCCTGCTTGAAGGGTTAACCAAAAAGGCCTTAGCTATAGATATAGCCTGCTTTAAAGTGCAATGAATTCGCTGCACCCTCTGTTGATACTGACTTCAAAATCATATAACCGTTCATAAGGTAATATTTTGGATTTTCGAAGAAGTGTCCCTTCCAGTTGCCTGGGTGAGAAGTCGGGAGGCTAAGATCATCATGATAGGCATCTCCTATTAAGTTTTAGACATATATGAGGGATGCACACTGGCGAATTCGAAGCTGTTTATACCTGCACTTCGCAAAGATTGTTTGACACCATGAATTTCGAATATTTATAAGTATGCAGTATTCCTATCACACCGCCCCTGGTTGGAAAAATGTGTGCTTTTGAATATTCGAAAAATTTGTACTATATTTACCGAACATATTCTCTGTTCCAGATAAGAATGTAGTTTGGTGTGGGATGAGGAAATGTATATATGTTTAGTGAATTAATTCCGTAATCATATTCTGATAATTACGAACAAACTACGACAATTGTAAGGAGGTGTAATTGGCAAATCTCTTTGGTGTTTTCACTGGCTTCTGTCGTTATTGCTGTATTAGACAAATACATCAAAATCCAAATTGTTTTCGAGAACATGTGCAACAGCGCGAAGTGTTGCATTGCTACCACACAGGTCTACTGTCAGAAGAGATACATCTGCCAAACATAAAGTAATATTGACGTTAACCTCATTTCGCCGGAGCTTAAATATACAGAACACATAAAAACGTTAGCGAAATCCAAAACAATCTTCTTACGAACAAAAATTTAGAACGAGAAAAATTTCACTTGCATGATACTTATATATTCCTGTTATGTATATAACAACTGTGGTAATATTCTTTCAATTCCAAAGAGTTTAATTTTTTGGACAAACAATTCTTTAACACTGCATTCTAATGAACGCTTTCAGACTTGTTGTCTGGTGCATATTTAAAACAACTGGGTTTTTAGGAAAATGTGTTTATCAGAAGAGACCTAACATTGTTGAGCTAAAGATAAAGAAATTAATTTTCTTCGAACCTTATTTTTAGGACTCTAAATAGAAGTAAGTATGTATCTAACGCCTCCTCTTAAAGGAAAAACGCATACTAATATATATACATATATTCATATATGACGCCAAAATACAATAATAGTCCATGATGTCATTGCACATTAGAAAATACCAGAGCTTTAATTCCTAACAAAGACATAAACTAGGTAATTATTTGGAAGAATTATGAATAAAATAGATACCTTCCTCAGTTTCTTCGCACGTATGATCTTCTGTGGTTTCCCCTGGCGTACCTGCGTGAAACATCACTTATTTCAATCCTAGTTTCAACATAAAAACTAAATTATACTAGTAAATTCTTTCAGGTAGTACAGCAGCTTAAAGCAACATACTTGGTAATATGTAACTAATATTTTCTCCTTTATGAGTTCTAAAGGGAATTCAAATAAAATTATAAAAAAACCTTATCAACTCATTCTACATTACATTCATCATATTCCATAGTTCATTCTCGATTTTGATCTGATTTTTAGCACCCATATATACGCAAATATTTTCAGAATTTCCTAAACGTTTTAAATAGTTTGAAGTTGTAAATAGAGCAAAAGTGTTTAAATGTGTTTATATAACATCCAGAATTTGAGGTTCGTCATTAAATATTATGATTCAATGCCACAATCAGGATTTTGTATGTAATAACAAAATGATTTAATGTCAGATACTTTTATTTAAATTTAAATATCAGTAAGAAGTTGATCTAGCTCTTCGAATTGCTTAACCTAAGTTTAACCTTAATGTAGATTCACTGGGTGTTTTGAAAAAATTATTTTATCAGAAGAAAACTAACATTGTGAAGCCCAACATAAATGAGCACATTTTGCTTCGAACCTGAATTTTAGGACACTCTATAGAAGTATGTATCTAACGTCTCCTCTTAAGGAAAAAACCGTAAACTAATGTATATACATCTATTCATATATGACGCCTAAATACAATAATATTCTATGATGTCATTACCACTTTAGAAGATACCAGAGATTTTCATTCCTATCAAAAGACATGAACTAGGTAATTATTTGTAATTAAATATGAATAAAATATATTACCTTCCTCGCTTTCGTCGGGTGTAGATTCTTCTGTGGGTTCAACTGGCGTACCTGTGTGATACAATATTTGTTTCAAATGTATTTACAACCTAAAAATAAACTAAGGTAGGAAATGCTCTTAGGGAGTATAGCAGCTTAATGCAACATTCTTGATGTTAAATAACTAACATATTCTCCCTTATGAAAGCTAAAAAGGAAATCAAAATAAAATTTTAAAAAAAGAAGCCTTATCAACTCTTTCTACTGTATATTTAGCATGTTCCATAGTTCATTCTCAAATTTAATCTGATTTTAGGCACCAATATATACGCAAATATTTTGTGAATTTCCTAAAATTTATAAATAGTTTGAAGTTGTAAATAGAGTCCAAATTTTGAAATACATTTCTATAATATCCGGATATTTGAGATTCTTCATTAAAACATATGATTCACTACTACACTCAGGACTTTGTCTGTAATAACAAAATGATTTAATGTCAAAATCTTCCTTTCTTCCATTTAAATTTCCATATCCGTAAGGAGTAGATCGAGCTCTTCGAATTGCTTAACATAAGTTTAACATTAATGTACTTTCATTGTTGTACTTTTATAGAAGAGATGTTTAAATGCTATATTTGAAGGAATGCAGCGGGTAACAAAATATATAAACATGCATTTTAAGTACTGCTAAATATTATTTACTTAAAATTATGCTGATATATAGTCGTTAAGAGATATCTCGGCACTTGGGAGATCTCGACACTTTTAAGGAAGTCCCTTAGTAGAGTGGTCTGCACCCTGGTGTCTCAGATGGAAACCACTGTATTGGAATAACCTAAGAATGTAGTGCGTAATTGTGAATCGAAAGTGTTGTAAAGACAGAGATTGGTCAAGAAACTAACCATTTATAATCAGTCAGGTATGTTCTCCATATATTACAATGCGTAAGGATTGGCTTTGATAACGATGATAAATGTGGACGACGCCTTCGGTTTTTCGCGATTTGCAAATGACTGGGCTAGTGAGATCAGGTATTCAGGAACATGGATGTCTACGCAAAAAGCTTTTATAGCCAGTCAGAGAGGTGTGCTTCTATCTTTCACAGAAATGTGGAACTCGGGGAGATTTCGACAGCAGGTTACGGGGAGATCTCGACAGTCGAGTTCTTCCCGTAACCAAGGCAGGATATGACTGGGTATATTCTTTCTTAGAAAGACACTCTAATTTGTCAATAAGAAAAGCACAAAGCTTGTCTTATGCACGTTTCACAGGTCTCAATAGAGAGGAAGCACGAAAATATTTTGAGAATTTGCGGAAAATGTATGATGCGTTGAACCTGTGGGAAGAACCGGCAAAAATTTTGAATGCCGATGAAACTGTAGTGAAGCTTATTTTCAAACTTGTCAAAGTGATTTCTTGCGAAGCTAAAAAGATGCGAACCACGCCACGACAGTGGAAAAGGGATCTACTGTTTCTGCATTGTTTGCAGCAGCACAACAGGAAGTGCCCTCCTACCTTTGTCATAATTAACCCGCGAGCACACGCACCGATCCGACGAACACGAGAACACGCGCCGGGTATGTCATACCCGAATAAAAATATTGTAAATAAAAATTTGCCGACAAAAATTAATCGTTTTTTTAAAAGAAATTAAAATGTAAACCCAAATTAATACTTCATTTTAGATTTAAAATAGGAAACAATAAGGAGAGGAAAAATTATTTACTTACAATTTTTTTAACATTGTTTACAAAATGGGGTCATATGTTCCATATATATACTTTTGCTACAATTTTCACAAATGAATCTAGTCTTTCTATCGTTTTTCTTGGAGCACTCTGTACACCTCTTGTAAGTCATTTCAGGTTTTTTGGAGGGCGGTCCATTGTTAACATGTTCATCGGTGGTCAGAGTTCGTCCAGAATCAGGAACCACAGATGCTCGTCGTCGTTCATTTTGAACATTTTCTATTAGCTGCATCCCTAAGGCTTTGAGAAAAGTACTCATCCCGCTTCACGAGTGAAATTTTCTCGTACTGAATCAATATAAATATTTGTATTTATCAACTACATGTTTTAACATACTATCTTCATCGATAAGCAATGACAAGGACTCTAGATGGTGTTGAGACGTCTTTAGAATACTTTGTATTTCCAGGGAGTTTAGCTATAATATTTTTGGCGCCAATTCTAACATTAGTCCGGAAATTTATGTTTGTTCCATTTTACTCCATTTTTTCCCAACATAAAACTCATTGCTACATTCAGAGTTTCATTTTCTGTTTCTGTATCTGAATCACTACTCTATATGGATGAATCATGATTACTAATTATATTCTTCGTCATCAACATCTTCCTCTCTTCACTAAATGAATCCTCATCAGAAAAAAACTGTTTCAAGGAGATTTCTCAATCTTTCATCTATTCATCGTAAGGAATATACGGCCCCATGCTTACAACTCAAGAAAAACTTATACTAAAAGCTTGAAAACGAAAGTTGCAAAGTGACTCACTGAGAAACGCCAGTACACGCGCGCGGGTATGACATGACATGCCCGAACAATGCTGGTCCTAAAAAAACCATTGCACTTGCCACCTCAGGAATTTCCCCCATTTAAGTATGTGACCTTGAACACAGCTACACCAAGTTTCATCCTTTTATGAAAGAATGGGCGAGAAATATACAAAAAGAAAAATGCACATGGGTATGACATACCCGCCGCGTGTGCTCGCGGGTTAAGGATGTTAAGCAAATACCGTATCATGTCGAAGGTTTACCAAATGGGTCAACGTTAGCGAAGTCGGACTCTGGATACATGGCGAGCGAAGATTTCAACAAATTTCTTGACCATCTAATCAAACACAAAGCACAAGGAAAAAGACAGTTTACTCATTATACGTGGACACGCCTTTCGCTGCAAAGATCCGTATACACTGGACAAAGCTTTAATGTTCGGAGTTGAGATGCTATGCCTTCCTCCACATAGCACTCACAAATGCCAACCCCTTGATGTTTCATATTTCAAGAGCCTGAAACAATTTTAAAATGATACATGCAGGAAATTTGTTCACCACCATCCAGGAAAGTGGATCGCCAAAGAAGGCTTCGCAGATATATTCAAACAGGATGGGGTAAGTCTTCTACATCAGACAATTATGGCAATGGATTTCGGAAATGTGGAATTTACCCATACAAGCCCGATATTTTGGAAGACAAGGTGTTTGAATAGGAACTCATGTCTACAACAAACTTCACCATTCCAGTTATGGTAGAGGAAGACGATAACCTCCAGAAGCCAGTCAACTGCGCAGTTTCTAAAACGCCAATTATCCCGTGTAGTAATACAGGACCTGTAAGAATAGGAGAATAAACAAGAATCACTCATTATGACATCCGCAGAATACCGGCGTGAACTGCTCAATAAAAAACACCACCCAGGTACCTACCACAGAGGAACACGACCCAATATCTTGAGGGATCTCGAAGACAGTCAAAATTACTGTGGCGAGTGCAGTGGGTAATATTTTGATCATACTGCCGGACAGCAGTGGATGAAGTGTGGAGAGAGTAGTACTTGGTTCCATGAGGCGTGTGTAGAAAATGGGAATCAACCCCAGTTTACATGCAACACATGTTTATAGTTAATAGGGAGGATATTGTTACTTTGTTAATATGTGTTTAGTCCATCAATCTTCCTTTTCCTTAGGGCGTTGTACTTATTTCTTAAAAAAGTCATTGTTCTGAATTGTAAGTGCGCCCCGTAGATACCTGTCGAGATCTCTCGCAGTTAAGGGAGAATTGGACATCTGGGTTTTATGTTTTCGTTGCATTTATATGACCTATGATGTTTTTCAGGTAAGCCAAATTTCCGTAATGTGCTACTACTCCAGAAATAATAATTTTCTGTAAAAATAAATGATAAAATTCTTACATGGTAACCAGTAATTCATAATTTTCTCTTAAGTTGACGAAATGATCCTGAACTATTTTATTTAGCATTTCCTAAATGCAGGTGTTGTCGAAACGTTCCAAAAGAAAATCGTTTTTTTTTTATCGCATGGGAGAAACTAATATACGCCATATGAAAGATTATATTTATAAAACACCTAAATTTGTAATAGAAGAATATTTCTTATCGTTATCTGCAATGGTGTGCAGGGAGTAAGTCATTTTTCCCGATTTGGCCGTACAACAAACAAGCAAGTCGGAGACAGGAAATTCACACTACAGGAAATTCACACCACATACTATACAGTATCTAACACAAAGAAGTTATACAAAATCAAAAAATTAATGATGTGGCTACAGCACAGAGTGACTAGAAAAATGCCTGTATGAAGGATAAAGTAAAAAGCCTTAGCTATGGAAATAGCATCATTTAAATGCAATGGATTCATTGCAGCACCTGTTGATACTGACTACAAACCATTCATATAATATAACCGTTCATAGAGTAACATTTTCGATTTTCGTAGAAGCATCTCTTCATGTTGCAAGGGTGAGATGTCGGAAGGGTAAGATAATGACGACAGGCATCACCTGTTCAGTAATCAACATATATGAGGGATGCACTGTGGCGAATTTCAATCTGTTTTTACCTGTACTTCTCAACGCCTGGTTGACGCCATGGGTTTGGAATATTTATAAGTATGCAGTACTCCTATCAGACCGTATCTGGTTGGAATAATATATACTTTTGAAATATTCGAAAAGGTGCACTATATTTACCGAACATATTCCCTAGTCCAGATAAGATTCTAGTATGATACGGAATGAGGAAATTTATATTTTTAGTGATTAATTCTGTAGTCATAATCTGATAATTACGAGCAAAGGACGACAATTTTAAGGAGGAATAATTGGTAAATCTCTTTGGCGTTTTCACTGGCTTATTTTCTTTTACAACCTAAACACCTGTCGTTAATGCTGTATTAGACAAATGTATCAAAATCCAATATTGTTTTCGGGAACATGTGGAACAGCGCGAAGTGTTGCATTGCTACCACACAGGTGTAATGTTAGAAGAGATACATCTCCCTAACATAAAGTAATATTGAGATTAACAGCATTTTTAAGAAGCTTAGATATCCAGAACACATAAAAATGTTGGCGAAATCGGAAACAATCTTCTTACGAACAAAAATTTAACACGAGAAAAAATTCACTTGCATGATAATTATATACTTCTATTATGTATATACCATCTGTGGTAAAATTATTTCAATTCCAGACAGTTTAATTCTTTGGAAAAATAATTCTTTAACACTGCACTCTAATGAACGCTTTCAGACCTGATGTCTGGTGCATATTTAGAACAACCGGGTTTTTTGGAAAATGTTTTTATCAGAAGAGACCTAACATTGTTGAGCCCAAAATATAGAAGCTAATTTTTCTTTAAACCGTATTTTTAGGACTCTAAATAGAAATAATTATGTATCTAACGCCTCCTCTTTAAAGGAGAAACATAAACTAATGTATATACATCTATTCATATATGAAGCCTAAATACAATAATAGTCCATTAAGTCATTACGACTTTAGAAGACACCAGAGATTTTCATTCCTATCAAAAGACAAGAACTCGGTAATTATTTGTAATTAAATATGAATAAAATATATTACCTTCCTCGCTTTCGTCGGTGTAGTTTCTTCTGTGGGTTCAACTGGCGTACCTGCGTGATACAATATTTGTTTCAAATGTATTTACAACCTAAAAATAAACTAAGCTAGGAAATGCTCTTAGCTAGTACAGCAGCTTAATGCAACATTCTTGATGTTAAATAACTAACATATTCTTTTTTATAAAGGCTAAAGTGAAATCAAACTAAAATTTAAAAACGAAGCCTTATCAACTCTTTCTACTGTACCTTCAGCATGTTCCATAGTTCATCCTCAAATTTGATCTGATTTTAAGCACCAATATATACGCAAATATTTTGTGAATTTCCTAAAATTTATAAAAAGTTTGAAGTTGTAAATAGAGCTCAAATGATTTAAATACATTTCTAAAATACCCGGATATTTGATATTCTTCATTAAGTAATATGATTCACTATCACACTCAGGACTTTGTCTGGGATAACAAAATGATTTAATGTCAGAATCATGTTTTCTTTCATTTAAATATCCATATACGTAAGGAGTTGATCGAGCTCTTCGAATTGCTTATCATTTAACAGTTTTTAATGAAGTTTAACATTAATGTACTTTCATTGTTATACTTTAATAAAAGAGATGTTTAAATGCAATATTTGAAGGAATGCAGCGGGTAGCAAAATATATAAACATGCATTTTTAAGTACCGCTAAAATATCATTCACTTAAAATAATGTTTATATATTCAGCATTTCTTAAATGCAGATTTTTTCGAAAACTTCCAATCTAAAATCCTTTTTTTTTATTGCATACGAGAAATTAAGAAACGTCATATGAAAAAATATACTTTTAAAACAGATAAATTTGCATAAATAGGATAATTCTGATCATTATCTGCCCTAGTGTGCAGAGATAAAGACGTATTTCCATTTTGGCAGTACTTTAGCGAATAAGCAAGTCGGAGACATGAAATTCACACTACAGCGGCACCATATAGGATGATGAAGGTATACAAAATCAAAATGATGAAGTTATACAAAATCGAAAACTTAATACTGTTGCTACAGCACAGAACGAATAGAAAAATTCCTGCTTGAAGGATAAACCAAAAAGCCTTAATTATGGATATAGCCCTCTTTAACTGCAATGAATTCGATGCACGGTCTCTAGATGCTGACTACAAAATCATCTAACCGTTTATAGGAAAGCACTTTCGATTTTCGAAGAAGGATCTGTTCCAGTTGCCCGGGTAAGATTTCGGGATGCTAAGTATTCAACACATATGAGGAATGCACACTGGCGAATTCGAACTATTTATACCTGTACTTCGCAAGGCCTGTTTGACACCATGAGTTTCGAACATTTATAAGTATGCAGTATTCCTATCATACAGCCCCTTGTTGGAAAAATGTGTCCTTTTGAATATTCGAAAATTTTGTACTGTATTTACCGAACATATTCTCTGTTCCAGATAAGAATGTAGTTTGATGCGGGATGAGGAAATGTATATATTTTTAGTGATTGAATTCTGTAGTCATATCTTATAATTACGAACAAACGACAGCAATTTTTAAGGAGGTATAATTGGCAAATCTCTTTGGCGTTTTCGTTGGCTCTTTTTCAATTATGACCTAAACACCTGACTTTATTGCTGTGCTGGAAAAACGTATCAAAATCCAATATCTTTTTCGAGAACATGTACAACAGCGGGATGTGTTGCATAGCTACTACACACAGGTCTATTCCTAGCACAGATACATCTCCCTAACCTGAAGTAAAATTGACGTTAACAGCATGTATTACTCAATGCCACAAATACAATTCCTACTTTCGACAGACTATATGCTGTGGTTTGGCCGGACCTGACCTTTACATCCGCCAATACCTCTCACTTAACAAGTAATTGGACGGTCAGAGATGAGATTTCATTATCTGACCATAAATATATCACTTTTGAAGTAACACATCATAGTTCTTTACCTATCGTACGTCGTTATAATCTTCCTGGCAGGAAAATTAATCATTTTAGTCGAAAAGTTCGTGGAACTCTAAATCGTCTTCGTAATCGCCCAACGTAAATGAGCGCATTTTGCTTCGAACCTGAATTTTAGGATTCCATATAGAAGTAACTATGTATCTACCGTTTCGTCTTAAGGAAATAACCGTAAACTAATGTATATACATCTATTCATATATGACGCCTAAATACAATAATAGTCTATGATGTCATTACCACTTAGAAGACACCAGAGATTTTCATTCCTATCAAAAGACATGAACTAGGTAATTATTTGTAATTAATTATGAATAAAATATGGTATCTTCCTCGCTTTCGTCGGGTGTAGTTTCTTCTGTGGATTTGCTTGGCGTACCTGCGTGAAACATCATGTATTTGAAACGTATTTTCGACATAAAAAGTAACTTTGCAATTACGTGCTTTCAGTTAGTACAGCAGCTTAAAGCAACATACTTGGTGTTAGGTAACTAATATTTTCTCTCTTATAAGGGCTAAAGATAATTTAAATTCAATGATAAAAAGCCACATCAGCTCTTTCTAATGTAAATTTATCATATTCCATACGTCGTTTTCAAATTTAATCTGATTTTAAGCACCCATATATAAGCAAATATTTTCGGAATTTTCTAAAATTTATATTTAGTTTCAAGTTGCAAAGAGGGCCCAAATGCTTAAATACGTTTATATAATACCCAGATTTTGAGATTTGTCGTCAAACAATATGGTTCAATACCACATTCAGGACTTTATCTGTAATAACAAAATTACTTAATGGCAGAATCGTTTTTCTTTTATTTAAATTAATATATCAGTAAGGAGTTGATCTAGCTCTTCGAATTGGTTAACAAGTTTAACACTAAAGTAGTTTCATTGATATATTTGAATAAAAAAATTATTTAAATGCAATATTTGAAGGAATGCAGCGAGTAGCCAGATATATAAACATTCATTTTAAGTACTGCTAAATATAATTTACTTAAAATTTATTCATATATTGAGCATTTCAAATGCAGCTTTTGTCGAAAGTTTCTAACTAAAATCGTTCTTTTTATTGCTTACTTTTTTTATCGCGTATGAAATATCATATAAAAGAGTATATTTAGACTAGAAATCTCGGCGGTTATACGAAATGACCGCTGTTTTAGATATTATAAACTGTATTAAAATAATTTGTGCAAAGACGACTGCTACGTCAAACTGAATTAAACAGGGCAGGTGCGAGGACGTCCGTTTGATTACTGCACCACGGGGTTAACTCCTTGCTTAATCGCTGAAATTTGAGTGCAATGAAGGAATCCACTGGCGGTATATATTATTTAAGAGCCGCCGCTAGCTTAATAAATAAAGGTGGTTTAAATAGTAAAATGTTAATTCACATGTCAAAGATCTCCTTTATTTCTACCCATCATTTTTAAGCTCGCGATGCAGAGGACCGTCAATTATTTTTAATTTTACGTCCGTTTCTTCGCGAAATCTTGAACAGGCAACATAACATTGACCGTGTCCAATTGCAGGCTCAGGTAAAATAATGCCAAGTGTTTGGCCTCGAGACTTCTTGATGGTCGTATCAAAGGCAAGTTTTAGAGGAAATTGTCTACGTCTCAATTGAAACGGCAACCCTGTGCCGTCTCAACTTCACCCCATTGGCTAGTACAGTTACGCAATAAAACAATAAACTATCAGCGGGAAACAGACACTTGAGCCGCATATAATAAAGATAATTATTTTCTTCATTTTATTCGTTTTTTCATCGTTGCCTGTTTTTGCCGGTTGCATATCTGCGAATTCTATTATATATAGATGTTAAATTTATTTATTAATTGATAAATGCCCGAGCTCTTGTATTTTTAATTTTTCCGAATTAGATTTGTCATAATATTCATCAAGCGCTCCACTGCACAGGGAATAAAACGATTTACAGTTACGCAAGAAACCAATAAACTATCGGTCGCAAACACTTATATCCCAGCCACTTATATATTTATTTAGAAATAGATAAATTTCCATAAGAGGAATCTTTCTTACTTTATCTGCGCTGGTGTGCAGAGGGTAAGCCATTTTTCCCACCTGGTCGTACCTTCGCAAACAAGTAAGTCGGAGACATGAAATTCACACTATAGCGACACAATATAGTACCTAAAAGGGTGAAGTTATAGAAACTCAAAAAATTGAAACCGTGACTACAGAACAGAGCGAATAGGAAAATGTCTGATTTAAGGAGAAACCAAAAAGACGTATCTTAGGAAGTAGCCTCCTTTGACTGCAATGAATTCGTTGCACCGTCTTTTGATACGGACTACAACATGCTCTAGCCGTTCTTAGGGTAACATTTTCGATTTTCGAAGAAGTATATCTTCCATTTGCCCGGATGTGATGTCGGGAGGCTAATCATCATGACAGGCATCTCCTTTTAAGTATTCAACACATATGGGAGATGCACCTTGTCGAATTCATTCTGTGTATACCAGGATTTCTCAAGGCCTGTTTGATAGCTGGAGTTATAAGTAGCCATATTTTGACAGACGTAAAACTAAAGTTCAGCTTTTAAGGCTTCCCGATAATGAAGTGGATAGTTGAGTAGAACGTCACCACAGCAACTACAGTGTCAAATTAACATCTTTTGAAAATTTGGAGCTCCGTCTCTACATTAATGGTTATGCCTCCCTAAGTGACCATCGGACCTCTTCTAAAGATCTCTTTCCCTGATGTTATTCGAAGAAATGCGTATGCATTCATTTATCTAGAGCAACTGGCGGGCAGAATCCAATAACGTATTGAAAGCATTCCCAGTTGTAAAGGTTTGGCGTCAGTTATGTAGTGGTATACAATGCTAGTTATCTCTACACCATTAGAAGTGTAGGCACTGATAGGGTTCTGTATATGATATGCAGGATTTTTTTTATACCAGTCAGATGTGCGAAGAATGATTATTATAACGTGCCCGTCAACAGTAATCCCGGACATGTTGCCTTCTTCTTTTAAAGCTCCTATCCATTGACTCCCATGATCACTTGCTTTTCGCATGTCCTGATATATATTATATAAAATAGCAACATACGCTGTTAGAACTGAGAAATGTACTCTACGAGTAATTCCATTGATATATACAATCAGAATATCTTAAAACAGAAAATATTCAGAACAAATGTGGTTTCTTCGAAGTATTTAACTCGAAAAACCTTTTAAATTTCAAGAATGCACCCCCCCCGAAAACACAATGACGCGAACTTTATGTATTCACAACAAAATTATCTGCGCAAGGAAATTTTCATCTTTAGATTACTTACAGTACGGCGCAGAACTTACCCAGTTTCCTCATTCTGGAGTTAATTTAAAAAAATCCACTTACAAAAGCGAAATTTACACAACAGAGAAAGTAGTAGCATTTAAAAGATGAAGAATTTATAGTAGCAAAAAATTAAAAAATAAAAAATAATAAATAGAAAGTATACGTAGGGCAAGAAAAACGGTTTATTTGCTAACTTCTTATGTATATACGGCTTAAGTCTTTGTTGCCGGTAGTTTATTGCTCGCTTCTGTAACTGTAAACTGTTTTATTCCCCGTGCAGTGCAGCGCGTGACGAATATTATGAGAAAGCTAAGCGGGAAAAATTAAAAATACAAGAGCACGTGCATTTAACATTTAATAATTAAATTTAACATCTATATATAATAGAATTCGGAAATATGCAACCGGCAAAAACCAGCAACGATGAAAAAACAAATAAAATGAAATATATGAATAACTTTATTATATGCGGCTTACGTGTCTGTTTGTCGCCGATAGTTGCTTGCGTAACATTACTAGCCAATCGGGTTAAGTTGCAACGGCACAAGGTTGCCGTTTCAATTGAAACGTAGTCAATTTCCTGTAAAAGTTGCTTTGCTAGGATCATCAATAAGCCTCACGCCCAAACAATTGGCATTTTTTTACTTGAGGCTGCATTTGGACAGGGTCAACTTTATGCTCCCTGTTCAAGAGTTCGTGAATGAGCGGACGTGTTAAAAATAATTGATGGTTCTCTTGAAGGCAAGCTTAAAAATGATGGAAAGATCTACGTAAGAAATGTTGTGCACAAAGAGACCTTTGACATGTTAATTAACATTTTATTATTTAAATCACCTTTACTTATTGAGTTAGAGGTGGCTCTTAATAGATGTACTGCCAGCGGTTTCCTTCATTGTACTGTACTTTAAGCAGGTAGAAGGGGTAACCCCGTGGGCCAGCAAGCAAAATGGCGCACTCGGTAATTCTGTTTGAAATAGCAGACGCCTTTGGACAAATAATTTTATTACAATTTAGAATATCGAGAACAGCGGTCATTTCCTATGACCGCCGGGCTTTCTAGTACAAGTTTAGCAGTTTCACATATTTGTAAGTACGCAGTATTCCTATCAGAAAGCCGCTGGCTGGAACACTGTATAATTTTAAATATTGGAAACTGGTGTACTAGATTTTCCGAACATATTCTCTGTTCCAGATAAGATTCTACCTTGATACGGAATGATGAAATGAATAGTTTTAGTGACTTAATTCTGTAGTCATAATCTGATAATTACGAAATATACGACGACAATTTTAAGGAAGTATAACTGGCAAATCTCTTTGGCGTTTCCACTGACTTATTTTCAAGTATAACCTCAACACCTGTCTTCCTTGCCGTGCTAGAAAAATATAAAGAAATCCAATTCCTTTTTCGAAAACATGGGCAACATTGCGAATGTTGCTTTGCTATCACACAGGTCTACTGTTAGAAGAGATACATCTGTCTAACATAAAGTAATATTGACGTTAACAGCATTTTTCAAAAGTTTAATTATCCAGAACAGATAAAAACTTTAGCGGAATCAGTTACGATTTTCTTAAGAAAAAAAATTTAACACAAGAATAATTTCACTTGCTAGATAAATATATATTTCCATTATGTATATACCAACTGCGGTAAAATTCTTTCAACTCCCAAGAGTTTCAATACTTCTTTTGGAAAAATAAATCGTGCATATTTAAAACAACTATGCTTATTCAAAAAATAATTTTATCAGAAGAGAACTAACATTGTGAAGCACACGTTAAATGAGCGCATTGTTCTTCGAAACTGATGTTTGGGGCACTAAATAGAAGTAAGTATGTAAATAACGTCTCTTCTTAAAATCAAAAATGTAAACTAATGTATATACATCAATTCATATTGACGCCTAATGAAATAATAGTCCCCGAGGCCATTACAACTTTAGAAAATACCAGAAGCTTTTATTTCTGTGATAAGACGAAAATTAGGTAATTCTTTTTAACAATTATGAATAAAATAGATACCTTTCCCGCTTTTCTCCGGTGTAGTTTCTTCTGTGGATTCACCTGACGTACCTGCGTGAAACAATATTTTTTTCAAATGTATTTACAAACTAAAAATAAACTAAGCTTGGAAATGCTCTTAGGTAGCTTAAGACAACATTCTTGGTGTTAATTACCAATGTTTTCTCCTATGTCAGGGCTAACGGGAATTCAATTTATAATTTAAAATACAAGCCTTATCAACTCTCTCTACTGTACATTCATCATATTCCATGGTTCATTTTGAAATTTGATCTGATTATAAGCACCCATACATAAGCAAATATTTTCAGAATTTCCCAAAATTTATAATTAGTTTGAAGTCATAAAGAAAGCGTAAATGTTTAAATATGTTTATAAAATATCCAGAAATTGAGATTCGTCATCAAATAATATGATTCAATACCACATTCAGGACTTTGTAATAATAAAATGATTTAAAGGCACAAACCTTTTTCCTTTTATAAAAATTTCCATATCAGTAAGGAGCTGATCTAGCTCTTCGAATTGGTTAACATAAGTTTAACATTAATGTAGTTTCATTGTTGTTATACTTTAATAAAAAAGATGTTTAAATGCAATATTTAAAGGAATGAAGCGTGTAACCAAATATATAAACATGCATTTTAAATACTGCTAAATATCATTTAGTTAAAATTGTGTTTATATACACTGACTACCAATAAGTATTTGGACACCTGAAATAGAAAAGAAAAACTAACTTTATTCAAAATCAATAGCTGGTAGGACCTCCACGAGAGATAATTACAGCGTGGACCCTCCGGGGCATATATTCCACAAGTCTTTGTATGACAGCTAGTGGTATTTTCTTCCACTCGGCTTGGAGAAGACATAGAAGTTCCTTCACCGATTTTGCACGGGTAGTGCACCCCTGAATTTGGCGATGCAACTCGTCCCAGAGGTTCTCGATAGGGTTCAGGTCTGGACTCTGGGCAGGCCAGTCCATTCGATGAACTCCATTGGCACCATACCAAGCCTAACATCGAAACATGACAACTGGTATTGTCGTCCTGAAATTAACAGGGGTCCAACCCGTAAAACTGCCACAACGTAGGAAGCACATTGTCATCCAAAATAGTGCAGTAGGCATCGGAGTTGAGCTTACCATGAATGGGAACCAAGGGTCCCAGCCCATACCAGGAGAAACACCCCCAGACCATAATTCCACCTTCTCCGAACTTGACTGTTGGCACAATGCATTCTGGCAGGAGACGTTCTCCAGGTAGACGCCAGACCCAGACCCTGCCATCCGAACGGTAAAGGGTGAACCTTGATTCGTCACTCCAAAGAGCCCGTTTCCACTGATCTACGGTCCAATTTTGATGTGCTTTGCACCACATTAACCGAGCAGCGCGGTTGGACTTTGTGATCAAAGGCTTATGGGCAGCAGCACGACCATGAAAACCAAGCAGATGTGCTTCCTTACGGATGGTATTCATTGAAACAAGACTTCCGGATGCCTGTTGAAACTCCTCGAGGATGAGGGCCATCGGTTGGGTGCGGTTCTTTCGAATTTCTCTGAACAGCACTCGTCGGTCTCTATCCCCAGTTTCGTCGGTCTGCCGACTCCGGGGCATATTCCGACAATCACCCCACACCTTCCACTTCTTAATCACATAGGCCACTGTCGATATTGGGTACTTCAGATCGCTAGATATGTCCCTTAAGGATCGGCCACATTTGTGATACCCGATAATTATACCTTTCTCGAAATCAGAGAGCTCCGAACTGCGAGGCATCTTGCATGCGACTAAAGCCGATGCTGTTTCCTACACGATATGTACCGACGGAGTCCGTGGCGTACCTTGGGACCGCAGATATCGTCATTTGCATAGGTGTCCAAATACTTATTGGTAGTCAGTGTATTGAGCATTTCTTAAATGCAGGTTCTGTCGAAAAGTTTCAAACTAAAATCGTTTGGTTTATTGCATACGAGAAACTAACCCTCTGGCTGATTGTCGCACGATTTCCACCTGCAACTTATATGTAGCCAAATTCGCTCATCTCGCAACATCCGCATGTACATGTTTTTCTTCATTTACTGAGGAGCGCATCCCGTTTTTACCCCGTTTAACCATTGAAATAAATTACATACAGTATTAGGTGCTTAGTTTACGTTTTGGCCAACAGATATCCTTAGTTCTCCACTAAATTGCGGCATTTTGAAGGCGCGTGGTATTAGCGCTCAAGCTTCACTTTTTGCCGCTTTTTTCTTACAGAAATGGCTGCTAGAAAACGTTCAGCGATAATATTTATTATTTAATTAGCTTATTGAATTATTGATTACATTAATAATTAGATTTATTGAATGTTGTGCAAGTACTGTGAAGTTTGAAATCTATCATACTAAACTGCTGTTTAAGGTATTTTTCTCTCAGCGCTATATATTTTCTTAAATTTTATGCATTTAAATTTTTTATAATCTGCAATAATTAGAAATTAACTGTAATTCGACTGAAATTTATTAATTTTTTTTTTTTTTGTTATAACATCTGAAATTGGTTTTTCTGGCAATATATATAAGCAGAATATTTCTTATCGTTATCTGCACTGTTGTGCAGGGAGTAAGTCATTTTTCCCATTTTGGCAGTACTTCAGCAAACAAACAAGTTGGAGGCATGAAATTCAGATTACAGCGGCGCAATACAGTGTCTAACATGAGAAGTTATAAAAAATCAAAAAATTAATACCGTGGCTACAGCACAGAGCGATTATAAAAAATGCCTGATTGAAGGATAAATAAAAAACCTTTAGCTATGGAAATAGCGTCATTTAACTGCATGAATTCTTTGCAGCGTCTATTGATACTGACTACAAAATCATATAACCATTCATTTTCGATTTCACTCATTCATAGCGTTTTCACTGGCTCTTTCTATTATAACCTAAACACCTGACTTTATTGCTGTGATGGAAAAACTAATCAAAATCCAACATCTTTTTCGAGAACATGTGCAGCAGCGCGAAGTGTTGCATAGCTACCACAGGTATACTTTTAGAAGAGATCCATCTGCCTAACATAAAGTAATACTGACATTAACAGTATTTCCCAAAAGCTTAAATATCCAGAACACATAAAAATGTTATTTGAAATTGGAAACAGTCTTCTTACGAATAAAAATTTAACACGAGAAAATTTCACTTGCATGATAAATATATATTTCCATTATGTATATACCAACTGTGGTAAAATTCTTTCAAATCCCGAGAGTTTAATTCTTTTGGAAATACAATTCTTTAACACTGACTTCTAATGAACGTATTAAGACCTGTTGTCTTGGGCATATTAAAAACAACAGGGTTTATTGGAAAATTTTTTTTATCAGAACCCAAGTAGCACTGGGTTCGGACCAGTTTGCAACGTCGATCCGAGAGGACTTTTACCTGGTAACTGGTAACTATTAAGTGGTCCTGGTAACTTTTACAACGTCTTTATAGCGTTGCGAAGACGCAAAATATTTGCCGTTGCATCTTGGCAATTTCTCGACATCGCTGAAACGTCATGATGTGACCGCTTTTAGACGTGGTCGTTTTAGCATCATTTTCATAGTTCATCAGCGATGGTTTTAGAATGAAAAGAGACTAAATCTACCCTTTAAAGTATCTGCAGTCCGCATAAGATTTATTTAGCAATGTTTTATTCTTTATTTCTTCTAAATATATTAATTTGAGATAGATTCATCTAATGAAATGTAATTTTTATGTAAATACTTTAATTATTAAATTTAATTAGTACTAAAATTACGTGCTAAATTATTGTTAAAATTTTGTTAAAATAATTAATACTTAAAATATTTTTCATAAATATTATAGTAAAATATTTAAAAATGAAACTAATCTATAAAATGAATTATTAAGTTATGAATTTTTTTAAAATTCATATTTTCGAAAGCAATGCAAATCACATGTTAGGAATTATTTTACTGCTGAAGTATGACTTTATTTATTATTTTTGAGGTAAGAACGAATTTATTTGAATTAATATGGTGACATAATATGAAACATTTCGCCGCATACAGTGCAAGAAGTAAAGTTTTCGTGACGATATGATTGTGTAAAAATGTATTCACGGATAAAAATTGGGCGATTTTAAGAATTCCGAGAAAACGCCCGGTGTTAAAAGACGATGCATATCCGTGCATAGTTAACGGCTATCCAATATATATGACGCAAACGAACATCTGAGTTCGAGCCTTGCGCGTTTTGGCTAATTGCCAAATTCAAACACGTTAGTTATCTGAGCAATAAATTTCAGACTCCATCTTATTATCAGGAATGTTTTCTTAATGGTTTTGGAATTCACCGTCGAAATTAAATACTGTAGAGCTTTAATACAGAAAGAGAACGACGTACAAAAATGTAATGATGGCACTTTATTTTGAATTGAGGAGAAATCTTTGTGGCAATGGCGAATTTCTGCTTATTTTGTTTGTGAATATCTGCATGCAATGTGCTAACAACGTCTATACAGTTAAATAGTGTTCTGTTTTGGCGTTTTATGACTTTCCGTTGATTAAAATTATATTGTGGTTTTCCAATCTTCAGTGGCTAGAGCGTTGCAATATTTGGTTACACGGATTCGGTTATAACGTACTATGCGCTATAGCGTATATAATTCATATTAATATATTATTGTGTTCATGATACAGTTTAGTGCTCAGACTTTACGCATATAATCGAAAAAAAAAAAGCCTTAAGGAAAAATTAACATTACTGTGAAATATTGTAATCTATAATTATGCCATACTTAACTGTGTAGTATTGAAAAACACTAGTACTTTTTTAATGATTGCAAATTTCAGATTTATTTACTTGTCGTATGTATGTTATCGTATGTTATCGTTGTATTACTATTCTCCCAAACACAGTGTATTTCGCGTTTTTTTTTTTTTAATATTGCCGTTATGTATGTCTATTAGATTATCTCAATAAATGAATGTTGGAAATTAGGTTTTGTTCATTATTAAATTTAAGTATATTTACTATACTTAAATAAGTATATTAAGTAAGTCATTTAAATATAGTATATTCATAATTTAAGTATATTATTCGCTTATATTTTATGTGCTTGTGATAAAAAAAATCATAATGCATAGAAACAAAATGTTTCATCGTGTGCTATTTAACGAAAAGCTTACTTTAACGTACTTAGCTTACTATCGCGTATTATATTATTTAAATTATTTCTGTATAGCATCAAAAGGAAAGTTATTGATTATAAAAAGTGCTTGAAATGATCATTGTAATCTAGCACTATTCTAAAATGTAGAAACTAAAAATAGGTAAATATATTTACATATCATCGAAGGAAATGGTGTTAAGAAACATCAGCATTACTAGTAAATACTACAATCCATAATTATTGCACTTTTAATTGCTTACTATTTAGAAAACACAATTTTTGTTGTTTAAATTGGAAATTTTAGTTCCGTTACCTTCCTCCTGCTATTTATACTTTCAAAACTACTAGTTCATGTTTTTTTCTTAAATAGTGTTGTCATGTATGTTGTTTGTAAGATTATTATTTCATTTTAGATATAAATATAGGAAGTTATTAGATTTAGGTATATTTTTGTATAAAATATTTTGAACACATTTATTAACTACTTTAAATTGTGTGTCATTTGCATATGTTGAAGATATAGAAGATAATGGTTATATTTTTTATTTTGAAACGCGAATAAATTTATGCTTGACTTCAAGTAAAATACTGATTATGTCACCTTAAGAACCACTTCCTAATCTATCATGACAGGTGCAATTCTCAATGTCTCTGAGATTTAACAGAAATAAATGTGATAATGGTTGGAATAATATATACTTTTAAATATTCGAAAAAGGTGCAATATATTTACCGAACATATTCTCTATTCCTAATAAGATTCCAGTTTGATGCGGAATAAGGAAATGTATATTTTTAGTGATTTAAGTCTGTAGTCATTATCTGATAATTACGAACAAAAGACGATAATTTTAAGGAGATATAATTGGCCACTCTCCTTTGGCCTTTTCATTGGCTTATTTTCTATTATAAACTAAACACCTGACTTTATTGCTGTGCTGAAAAAACATATCAAAATCCAATATCCTATTCGAGAACATGTGGAACAGCGCGAAGCGGTGCATTGCTAGCATTGCTACCACACAGGTCTACTATTGGAAGAGATACACCGGCCTAACATAACGTAATATTGACGTTAACAGCATTTCTCAAAAGTTTAAATATCCAAAACACATAAAAACGTTAGTGAAATCGGAAAAAATCTTCTTACGAACAAACATTTAACGTTAATTCATTAACATTTAATTACGTTAATACATTACGTTAATTCATTAAACATTTAACGTTAATTCATTAACATTTAATTACGTTAATACATTACGTTAATTCATTAAACATTTAACATTAATTCAAGATAAAGAAACTAATTTTTCTTCGAACCTGATTTTTAGGACCCTAAATAGAAGTAAGTATGTATCTAACGTCTCCTCTTTAAGAAAAACCGGAAACTAATGTTTTAACATCTATTCATATATGACGCCTAAATACAATAAAAGTCCATGATGCCATTTCCACTTTAGAAAATACCAGAGCTTTAATTCCTATCAAAGACATAAACTAGGTAATTATTTGTAACAATTATGAATAAAATAGATACCTTCCTCAGTTTCTTCGCACGTAGGTTCTTCTGTGGATTCACCTGGCGTACCTGCGTGAAACATCATTTATTTCAAATGTATTTTCAAACTAAAAACTAAACTAGGCTAGAAAATGCCTTCAGCTAGTCCAGCAACTTAAAGAAACATACTTTGTGTTAGGTAACTAATATTTTCTCCCTTATGAGGGCTAAAGGGAATACAAATTAATTATAAAAAATAATTTTCTAATGTACATTTATCATATTCAGAAGTCAAACAACAAAACTCAGCGTAATATTTTCAAAAATGTTACATCTTAATGCACCCTCCACTAGAACATTGGTGAATAATGATTTTACATCAAAAGAAACCATGAGTAAATTTCTAGGAGAAATGTTTTCAACCTTTTTTACAAACTCTATTGAATTTTTTATGGTGTAAATGTTATTGTCTAATATAGTTGAATATCTAGAAACTAAGTATTTAGCTAAGGGATACGAGGCAGTACCTGAATTTGATACAATAGGCCGGAAAGGAATACCACTTTTATGAATTTTGGGAAGAGCATATAATCTGGCACAATTCACAACAGATGGGATAAGCGAATGTTTTAAGTTGCTTGAAATGATTTGTGAAGATTTGATCGCAGTTTTTATTTTTGACAAGTCCGAAGGTGAAGGATCTTTAGGGATCGGATTATATGGTCTCTCGTTTCAGAGTTTAGTGACACCATCGATGTAAGTGTTCTTATCCATGACGATTATCTGGCCACCTTTGTCGGCCTTTGAAATGATAATATCAGTGTTAGAATAACTTTCGCGCATTGTAGCTCTTTCTCTCGCAGTTAGATTTGGTTTCAAAGGTTTATTATTGAATTTCTTATTATGAGAGATAAGATGCCTAATCATATCTTTCTGTGAATCTGAAACCTTACTGAACTTGAAACCTTTTTCGATTGGAGCCAAAATCTTTGGAATCGAGGGTTCACAGGTTTGCGAGAAGTTGGTTTGATGTTTACTATGGGAAGACTTTTTGAACTACTTGAAGTGGAAGACTGTAAAAGAAGTTTTTGGAATTTAACTGCAAGGGTGTTTTTCTGACGGTTAACTGCATTCTCCGCTCTAGAGCAAGAGTTTTGTTCAAGGGCAGTGAATTTTGGATATGAATTAGCGCGTTCCAGATGAAACTTGATTAATAATGTGCTTTTCACCCAACATTATTAATCAAGCAGTTAAAAAATTCTCATCTCAACACTCTAAAAGGCACACTCTTGTTTTAGGAGATTATAAAAATTCCGTTGTCATTCCCTTCTTTCCATCAATTAGCTATAAAGTTGCACATATTTTGAATTTATCTTTCGGGTTGTTTATTCTCCCATCAATAAAATTCCCAGTTCCATACTCAAGGACCCCATTCCGGGTATGAATTCTTGGGGTATTTATAGGATTCCTTGCCAGTGTGGTTTGATTTACATTGGCCAAACTAGGAGAGCCTTAAAATTTCGCGTCAAGGAACATGAGGCATATGTTAGAAAAAAAGAAACACAGAAGTCTTCTGTTGCTCAACATTGTTGGTCCGAAAATAACACTTTCTATTTTTCTGCTACCAAAATTATTCAAAAAACGTCTTCCATTGGAGAACTGGATTTTGTAGAGGCATTTCACATTCAAAAAAAATCTTTCTGTTCTAGTTAATGATCCTAATTCCAATCCATCTTGCTCAGTAAGGAGTTGTTCTAGCTCTTCCGATTACTTAAAATTAGTTTAAACTTGATGTAGCTTAATTGTTATACTTTAATAATAATAAAAAAGATGTTTAAATGCAATATTTGAAGGAATGCAGTGGGTAGTAGAATATATAAACATGCATTTTAAATATTGCTAAATATCATTAGTGCGTGATTGTGAATCGAAAGTGTTGTAAAGTCAGAGATTGGTCAATAAAATAAACATTAATAATCTGTCAGGTAAGTTCTCAACAGTTTAAAATGTCAAATGAAGTTTGGCGTTGATAACGATGATAAATGTGGACGATGGGTTTGATTTTTAGCGATTTCCAAATGACTGGCTAGTGAGATCAGGTATTCAGGAACATGGATGTCTACGCAAAAAGGTTTTAAAGCCAGTCTGAGGGGGGTGCTGCCATCTTTCACAGAAATGTGTAAGTCGTGGAGATTTCAACAGTTGGTTACACTCGAGTTCTCCCCGTAACCAAGGCAGGATATGACTGGGTATATTCCTTCTTAGAAAGACAACTTAATTTGTTAATAAGAAAAGCACAATGCTTTTCTTATACTCGTTTCACAGATCACAATAGAGACGAAACACGAAAATACGAGACTCGTATTTAGACAATTTACGGAAAATGTATGATGCGTTGAACCTGTGGGAAGAACCGGCAAAAATTTTGAATGCCGATGAAACTGGACTGTAGCTTATTTTCAAACCTGGCAAAGTAATTTCTTCAAAGGCCACAAAAAATGTGAACCACGCCACGTCAGGAGAAAGAGGGATCTACTGTTACCGCATTTTTTGCAGCAGCGCAAAAGGAAGTGCCATCCCCTCTTTGTCATAAAGAAGGGTGTTAGGCAAAAACCGTCTTATGCCGAAGGTTTAACAAATGGGTCAAAGTTAGAAACATCGGACTCTGGATGCCTGACAAGCGAAGTTTTCAACAAATTTCTTCACCATCGGAACAAACACAAACCACAAGGAAACATTTTACTCAATATAGATAGACACGCCTCACGCTGGAAAGGTCCGGATACACTGGACAAAGCGTCAATGTTCGGAGTTGAGATGCTATGACTTCCTCCACATAGCACTCACAAATGCCAAGCCTTTCATGTTTCATATTTCAAGAGCCTAAAACATTTTTATAATGAGGCATGCAGGAAATTTGTTCACCACCATCCAGGAAAGGGGATCGGCAAAGAAGACTTTACAGAAATCTTCAAGTAAGCTTGGGATATGTCCTCTACTTCAGGCAATTATGGCAATGGTAGATACCTGTCAAGATCTCCTGCAGTTCAGTTAAGGGAGGAAGTGGGTATCTGGCTTTTATGTTTTCATTGCATTTATATGACCTATGATGTATTTCAGCGTAAGCAAATTTTCATAATGTGTCTACTACTCCTGCAATAATTATTTTCTCTAAAAATAAATGATAAAATCCTTAAATGTTAACCAGTTAATTCATAATTTTCCCTTAAGTTGACGACGAAATGATCCTGGAACTACCTTATTCAGCCTTTCTTAAATGCAGGTGTTGTCGAAACGTTTCAAACGAAAATCGTGTTTTTTATTTTGCATACGAGAAACTAATATACGTCACATGAAAGATTATATTTATAAAACAGATAAATGTGCATAAGAAGAATATTTCTTATCGTTATCTGCAATGCTGTGCAGGGAGTAAGTCATTTTTCCATATTGGCCGTACTTCAACAAACAAAAAGTAGGAGACAGGAAATTCACACTACAGATCGCCACGATATGGTATCTAACAAAGATGAAGTTATACAAAATCAAAAAATTAATGATGTGGCTACAGCACAGAGCGACTAGAAAATGCCTGATTGAAGGATAAACTAAAAAGCCTTAGCTATGGAAATAGCCTCCTTTAAATGCAATGAATTCGTTGCAAGCGCCTGTTGATACTGCCTACAAACCGTTCATATAATATAACCGTTCATAGCGTAAAATTTTCGATTTTCGTAGAAGCATCTCTTCATGTTGCCCGGGTGAGATGTCGGAAGGCTAAGATAATGATGACAGGAATCTCCTTTTAAGTATTCAACATATATGAGGGATGCACAGTGGCGAATTCAATCTGTTTTTACGAGTACTACTCAAAGCCTGGTTGACACCATGGGTTTGGAATATTTATAAGAATGCAGTACTCATATCCTATCAGACCGCCGCTGGTTGGAATAATATATACTTTTCAAATATTCGAAAAAAGTGCACTATATTTATCCGAACGTATTCTCTGTTCCAGATAAGATTCTAGTTTGATACGGAATGAGGAAATTTATATTTTTAGTGATTTTAATTCTGTAGTCATAATCCTGATAATTACGAGCAAACGACGACAATTTAAGGAGGAGTAATTGGCAAATCTCTGTGGCGTTTCCACTGGCTTATTTTATATTCCAACCTAAACACCTGTCTTTATTGCTGTATTCGACAAATATATCAAAATCCAATATTGTTTTCGAGAACATGTGCAACAGCGCGAAATGTTGCATTGCCACCACACAGGTCTACTGTTAGAAGAGATGCATCTGCCTAACATAAAGTAATATTGACATTAACAAAATTTCTCAGGAGTTTAAATATCCAGAACACATAAAAATGTTAGCGAAATCGGAAACAATCTTCTTATGCACAAAAATTTAACACGAGAAAAATGTCACTTACATGATAATTATATATTTCTATTATAAATATACCAACTGTGTTAAAATTCTTTTTATTCCCAAGTGTTGAATTCTTTTGGAAAAACAATTGTTTAACACTGCATTCTAATCTACGCTTTGAGATCTGTTGTCTGGTGCATATTTAAAAGAACTGGGTTTATTGGAAAATGCTTTTTTATCAGAAGAGACCTCACATTGTTGAGCCCAAGGTAAAGAAGCTAATTTTTCTTTAAACCGTATTTTTAGGACACTAAATAGAAGTAAGTATGTAACTAACGCCTCCTCTTAAAGAAAAAACGCATACTAATGTATATACATCTATTTATATATGACGCCTAAATACAATAATAGTCCATGATGTCATTACCACTTTAGAAAATACCAGAGCTTTAATTCCTATCAAAGACATAAACTACATAATTATTTATAAGAATTATGAATAAAAATAGACCTTCCTCAGTTTCTTCGCACGTAGGTTCTTCTGTGGATTCATCTGGCGTACCTGCGTGAAACATCATTTACATCAAAT